GACGGGCCCTCCGCCCCGCGGGCGGCGGGCCCAGCGGCGGCACAGGCCTCGGGCATCCCTGCGCGCGCGGCCGCGACGCTGGGGCGCCGCGTGACCGCCGAAAGGAGAACGCGGTCTGCGACAGACCGCGCGGGGTGCTCATATCCTCACGCTCGATGAAGCAGATGGCGATGATACCGAGCTTGCAGAGCTTGCCCGCGACGGGCGTGCCCGCGCCGCCTTGCCGCGGGTTGGCGCGGCGCCCACAGTGCGCCCAGTCGATCCAGCACGGCGCTCGCGCGCGACCCGCGCGCCCGCCGTGCTCGCCGCCGAGCGGCCGCGCAAGCAGCTCTCTCACTGCAGCCGCTGCGGCGTCAGAGAGGCAATCACAACCCAGAGAATCATCGAACTGCGCGCCCTCGAAGTGCCGCAGCGCCTTCATCCCGTTTGGCCACGGGCAAGAGCAGATCGCGTCGATATCCACACGCAGCACATTGCGCAAGATGCTGCTCAACTGAGCATCGAATTCTTCGCGAGACATAACGAAGCAAAACTTGCAAGCATGACACTTACGAGATGCTCCCTCGCCGGGCCTCGCGAGTCAGCCGATGGCGCGCGCCGCGAGCGCTGGCTCACCTTGCCGGGATGAGCATCGATTCCCACGACGCGGGCGTGCAGAAGGCCTCGTCAAGGCGCGGATCAAATCGCACTGCGCCGAGCTGCCGCAACAGCCCAAGTTCACCCGGGGACGGGTCGTCGGCAATGCTTTCGTCGGTCCGTTCCCGCTCCGCGCGGACGAGGCACCGCAGGTGCGCGATCTTAACCCAGAGGCCGTGCGCGAGACGCGCGCGGTCGAACGCGCGCGCGGCGCCGTTGCCGGCGGCGGCCTGCGCGCCTGCATTGTCTGACCAGATCACGACGCGCCGACGGCGAAGCAGGTGTTCGAACGAACGCGGGCCCAGCGCGACGCTCAGCATCTCCAGGCCCATGATCTCATTATCCCCTCTGGGCTGTAACGCCCCTAAGATCCTGGCCAACGCTTGTTCGCGCGGCGCGAGCAACTGTCGCTGTCCTGCTCAGCCGTTCCTGGCGGCTGGTGACAAGCACGTCCAGAAGCATTTGTCGTCAATGAAAAACACGGCGGCCGCCGCGGGCGGGCGACTGGCCGCGTCGCAGAAGGCGCGCCACGGGGCCAGACGCTTCACCGAGCCATTTTCGCGACTGCGCCAGCTCGCCGCCGAGTACGATCAGCCACGACCGCAGCACAAGTCGCAGCTCTTGCCGCATGTCGGGGAAACTACGACGCGCCCGGGCGAAGATCGACCTGCCGTGGTGGGAACGTGGCGAGTGGGTGCGTCAGCGGAAGTCAATGTTGATCGCACGCCTGAGCATGGCTTGCCCCGCGCGATTGATCATATCTCTTGAGGCCCATGCCAGCGCGCCCGCCAACTTGCCCGCATCACCTGGTTGCGCCAGCCACGACGTCGCGTGATGTGGGGAGGACCGAGGTCCACGCCTGCGCGCAGAGTGCCCGAGTCGGGCGCCGCCTGCATGCGGGTTGTCCACTTGGCGATCTTCTCGGGCAGCGGCACGCACGTCATCCACTCCGATGAGAGGTCAACGCAGCGCCCCAGGATACCGAGCGGGACAATGCAGGATACCTTTTCGTCCACCAGTGCGGACTGGCCCGGTAAACATCTCACGATGCGCATGATGCAATCAGGTGCTCGACCTACCGCGCGGCGAATAAATGCAGCCGGTCATCCGGCCCGCGGGCCGCCTCGCGCCTCGGCCCATCTTACGGCGCCGAACATATCGCCCACGTAACGAAGTAACGCCGCGTGGACGCGCAGATGAGGGCGCCAATGCGTTCCCAAGTATGCACGCTTGCGACTGCGCGGGAGTTAGGCGCGGCACAGCGTGTCCCGGGAGCGGTTGGCGCGCCTGCCCCGAATGGGCACGCGCAGTGAGCATGCGCCGTGACCTCATCCTCGTATCGGAAAATGACACGAATCGTATCTCGATGCTCCTGTCGCAACTGGGCCCTCCGGAAAGAGGCGTCGATGTCGAGCTCAAACAAGCGCGGCACTTCGGATGCCTGCAACCCCGGCGCGCGCTCCTCTTGAGCACTCGCGGCGCAGCGGCCACCTCGCCAGTGAACAGTTTGCAGAGCTCGAGCAAGTGGTCGACCGTCTCGTGCCGCATGCGCTCACGCGGACGCGTTGCGGCGCTGGCGCCTGCAATGGAGCAATCGTCCACGGCGCGAACCTTCCCACAGAACGCGCGCGTTCTCTTCGCACGGATCGATGCACTCGCGCGGGCGCGCGCGTCTCGCGGGCGCCGTCGCTCCCGGCGCCCTGTTCCGCCCCGAACCGGGGCGCGAGAACGATTCCGCCCGGGTCGACATCGGTCAGGCGCTCGAGCGCCCGCATGCGCCAAAGTCGGAAATCCTCATTCGCAAGGCCCCGCAACTCTTGCGCGCTGGGGTCGGACCGCAACCGCGCGATCAAGCGCTTGTTCGCCGCCGCGGTGTCTTGTGTAAGGTCCTCGACGGGCCTCGCATGCGGGAGCGTGGCCGGCGCGCCGATGCCCGAGACCGGTACGTCGCCCAGCAGGGGCGCCCCCTCGCGCGCGACGGGGGCGCGACGGCCGACAGCGGCTGCGCGCGGGCACGCCGGACAACACAAAAAAAAAACGCATTCGCGATCGACGCGCCCGACTCTGACCGCCAATTCTTCGAGCAACGGCCCGTTGACATGCCCGGCGACCTCGCGGACGCCCGCGTCGGCGCCGCGATGCCCTGCCTCGACGGCGCCGCGCTGCTCGAGCTGGCGGGCCCGCGTCTCAATACGCCACGCGGCTTCTTCGCGCGCTCTCCGGACCGCGCCGGGCGCGCGCTCGCCGATCCAGCGTGCCGCGTCCGAGGCGTCGGGCGCCGATGTGGCTGACATCTCTAATTCATGTGACCCGGCCCGAGCCTGCCAGATAAAGTCGCGCTCGAAGCCACTCTTGGCCGAATTGCCCGGCCGCGGTCGCTTGGAGGCCGGGGGCGTCGGCAGACGCCTTCCCGCCCCGCTGTTCCGCCCGCTTGCGAGCGGGGGCGGAGCTGGCGTCGGCGCTCTGGCCTGGCCTCGATTCGCGCGCGCCCCGGGGGACGGCAAAGAATGTTGCAGCTGGTTGCAGCGGGGCACGCGAACGTAAATAATTCAGGGAATGCACCCGATCCCAGGTTCGCAAGAGATTTCCGGGATTTGCGGTTGCGAGCCCAGGATTAGGGTCAGTTTGGTGGAACACGCCGTGTGGGCCCTTGTTGGAACCCCGGTGGGCCGGCTTGGGGCCGTCTCGAGCCGTCTTGGGGCCATCTTGCGCTGTGTTGGGGAGCTTGGGCCCTCTAGGGAACTTACGGGGGCTACGTAGGCCCTCCTGGTGGCCTCCCATGGCTTTTTGGAGGGCCTCCCATGGCCTTCTTGGCCTTCTCGTGGAGGCCTTGTGAAGGCCTGTTGGGCCTCATTAGAACTCATTTGGGATTTTCTTGGGCAGTCTTGGGGCCGCCCAGGCCGTCTAGAGGCTCTCTTGCGGGTCTCTTGGGCCTTCTTGGGGCGATAACGGAAGCCTTTTTGGCTGGTTTTGGACGCTGCTAAGACCCGGACAGCGAATGTGCTGAACATGTACGTTCTCCAAAGGGCATGAAGCGATGTTTGCGTTCTGGGAGTCCTGTTGAGGACCTCATGGGCCGTCTGGGAGGTCTCTGGAGGCCATCTGGGTCCTTCTTGGAGCGCTCTTGTGCCGTCTTGGGTCATTATTCGGCCTCTCTGACCACCGCTCTGATCGCTTGGGGGCCTTGTAAAGGCCTGTTGGGCATCTGTTTGTCCCAGTTGGGGCTTCCTTGCACAGTCTTGGGGCCATCCAGGCCGGCTAAAGGCTCTATTGGGGGTCTTTTAGGCTTTCTGGGGGCGATAACGGAAGCCTTTTTTTGGCTGGTTTTGGACGCTGCTAAGACCCGAGCAGCGAATGTGCTGAACATGTACGTTCTCCAAAGGCCGTGAAGCGATGTTTGCGTTCTGGGAGTCCTGTTGAGGGCCTCCTGGGCCGTCTTGGGGGCCTCTAGATGCCATCGGGGTCCTTCTTGGAGCGCTCTTGTGCTGTCTTGGGTTCTCTCTTCGGCCTTTCTCTGGTCACCGCTCTGATGGCTTGGGGCCTGCTGGCAGGACCCGGCTAAGCGCCCTGGGAGGTCCGGGACGAGCCAGGGGACCTCCGGCAAAAATGTCCGGGGGGGCCGGAAACCCCCGATCCTGGGGGGAAGTTTTTTTTTGTTGGGGGGGGACGGGGTTTTCCCACCACCCAGCTTGTAAACATATAAGAAGAGGGATGTATATATGTATATATGTATATATGTATGTATGTATGTATGTATGTATGTATGTATGTATGTATGTATGTATGTATGTATGTATGTATGTATATACATATATATATGTGTATATATATATATATGTATATATATATACATTCGCCGACGCTTTGTCCAACCCTGCACTGACAATTGCATAGGCAAACGGATCCTGGTGTATACGGGATCATGGTGTATATACATGTTTCGCTGTTCCCCCGGGACACGGACGACAGAAGTATACAGCACACCACCCCGACGTCGTCCCCGACCCTCAAAAAGAGCCTGGGATTGAAAAACAGCCTGCCACGGGTAATGAATGTATTACAGTTTCCGACCCTCCCCACCACCCATCCACTCACCCACCACCCACCCACCCAACGCCCCCCCAAGCCCCATCCTCTCTCCCAGGCGCGCACACTCCCCCCGAGCAGGGTGGCGGATCCATGCGGCTCCTCTTCCTGCTGCTTCTTCGTCCTGCTCCTCCCTCCTCATCCTCAACTGGATCTGGACAGTTTGCGCCCTCCTCCTCACCCTTCTCCTCCTCCTCCTCCTCTTCCTCCTCCTCCTCCTCCTCCTCCTCCTCCTCCTCCTCCTCCACTCTCTCCATCTGTAGGGCTGGGGGAGCTGCCTCAGCGGCGCCACGCGCTGGTATATACTATTGTACCTGACGATGTTGACCACCCACGCGGCCAAGTACGCGCACGCCATGCTCTTCGTCTTCATCCCCTCAAACGAGAAGTACTCCTTCGGGCCAGTAGGGTGAGCCGAGCAGAGCGCCACAAAGTGCATCGCCACCACCATGTCATGCTTTCCATATCTCTCCCTTGTCATTCTCCACCTCCTCCTTCACCGTCTCCTCGTCATCCTCCCTCGTCCACTCCGTCGCTCAATTCCTCCCTCTCTCCATCCCTCACTCTCTACAATCCCTCCTTTGCTGCCCCTCATCCTTCCATCCATCGTATTCCCGCCTCACCCTCAATTCTTGGCTCCTAATCCTTCTGTCCCTCTTAACCCTCGCCCCCATTTTTCTTTCGCCGTCGTCAGAGCCCAGCTCCACCCCCCCTCCTCCTCCTTACCGCAGGGCGGGGGTCCCACCAGAGGAGCGAAACACTACGACGTAAACATGAACCTGCGGAAGTCCGCTCGGATCTCTTGGATCGGCGCTTGACCCCCACAGAAGGTGTCCCGGCGCAGATCCAGAGAACCCCCGTATGGAGCTCCGAGCGTCCGGGCGGACTCGTTCTCCAGCCCCCTCCCTCTGTCGGGAGACTTAAGACTCGTGTGCGGGGGGGACTCTGGTTGGCCTGGCGGGGTCATCATGACAGTGACGAGACCCAGTCTGCGACTTGACGCGACCTCCCGCTGCGAGGACCACACGAAAACTGGCCCGCCAAAACCCAGGGCGCGCTCGTCGAAAAACCGTCGGCAAACCCGAGTTCTGGCGTACTGGAGTCTTACGTTTTCCCGACTCTGCTGACGCCCGACCTCTGGCAAGTCGCGCGTGGAGGCGGCCTGCCAGCGGCCATGCCCAGAGGGGGTGCACTCCCGTGGAGCAAGGCGCCGCGCCGATACACATCGGTCGGAAGAACCGTAGGTGGAGCCACGAAGTGGGAAGGCGTTGAAGCAGATTGGGCTCCCGCCCGCCTCCTGTAGAGGAGGGAAGAGGGAAGCCCACTCGACTCCTGAAGTAGAAGTAGATGACATAAACATAAAAACTCGGAGGTCCGTGCGGATTTCGCGGATCGGCGCTGGACCCCCCTCCCTGGCGCGCGGAGCGCACCAAGGGCGGCGCCGGAGGCGCCGAGGGGGGACCCCAGCGCCGATCCGCGAAATCCGCGCGGACCTCCGAGTTTTTATGCTTATGTCACTTTCTGTTCCCCTAAGAAGGCGGCTAAAATAGATGGGGCACTGGGAATCCCAGAACACCTACTTCCAGCGACCGAGGGGCACACCCGAGGCGCCCGCGCGCACGCCCCAAAAAACGCCCGCGCTCTGCGCCGCTGTCCTGTCCTCCTCTCGGCCGAGGCCCACACAGAAGACAGGCACTGCGAGCCGGCACCCTTGAGGGATCTTCTGAGGGGAACGAACCATGCATAAATCATAACAACTCGGAGGTCCGCGCGGATCTCTCGGATCGGCGCTGGGGCCCCCTGGCGGCGCCTCCGGCGCCGCCCCTGGCGCGCTCCGCGCGCCAGGGAGGGAGGTCGAGCGCCGACCCGAGAAATCCGCGCGGACCCCCCAATCTGTACGTGCAGTTATGTCGTTGTTCGTTCTCGTACTTCCGACCCGGGTCCATCCAGACCGGGGACAGTCCGGCCTTGCAGGCTCTTGCAAGACCCTGCAGGTCCTGCCGGATCCTGCACCCAGAGCCCGGGTCAGTGCAGCCCCCCTCCTCCTCCTCCTCCTCCTCCTCCTCCTCCTCCTCCTCCTCCTCCTCCTCCTCCTCCTCCTCCTGCTCCTCCTCCTCCCTCGTCCTGCCGCTGCTCATCCTCGTCGCCCGTGCCCGCCTCTCCGCCTCGTCCCCCTCGCCCTCCCCCCCCCCCCTCCTCATCATCCTGCCCCCCCCCCCCTCCCCGCCTCCATTCCATCCCTCCCCTCCCAACTCCATGCTCCCTCTTCCCTTCTTCCTCCCATCTCGTCCGCCCTCCTCCTTGCGTCCCTCATCATCACCCTCCCCTTCCTGTCGGCTCAGGAGCTGTGCGACGGCAAGGGCGTGCAGGGTTTGGTCATAGGCAACGCTGTGGCCGACGACGTGGCGGGACACGCAGCGACAGAGGCGACAGCGGCAGGAGGAGATCGACATCGGATCTACCTGCACGAGAGACGGGCCTTCCTGGTACGGCACAGCCTCCTCCGTGCGGCGATCGACAGCATGGCGGCCACGGAGAAGGCCGAGGGATCGAGGAAAAAGGAGCGCTATGCTGCTGCTGTTCCTCTCCCTCCTCCCCTCCCTCCGCTGCTGCGGTCGCCTCCCTCCTCTCGCCCCATGCTTCTGTTCTGCCACCAAGGATTGTATGAAGGCCTGATGGCCCACACAGTGTCCAATTATATAATGTAGATGGTGTTATAACGTCTCCTAAGACGGGTGATCGTATCCACATCATGGGGTCGTGGGCTCACCCCACGCATACCCTCAATGTGCACCCTACTCTTCGAATCTGGTTCTGCACGTGTTGTGGGGCTATAGCCGAGAAGCAAATTCGCCTCTTGAGCCGCCCGTGTCGTGAGCAGATGAATAATACTCAGAGAGAATACCTCGACAGACTTGCGGCTGGGTTAACTAAAGCCAAAGGTCCTAAGCCGGGCCGAGAAGAAGGCCAGGAAGTCGAGCACACTTTAATGGGTTAGAAGAGGGATGAACTTGCTTGCGCAACGGGTTCCACTCCACTCCACTCCACTCCACTCCACCCCTCCCCCTCCTGTTCGTCTCAACTCTCCCCTCCTCCCCCACCCCCACAAATCCTCTCCTGCCGCCCTGCACCTACCGAACGCCCCCTGGAGCCCCTGGAATCCCAACCCCAGACTCAGGTAAAGTGTTCGGAAGCCTTTGAAACATTTCGAATACCCTCGCTGGGAACACCAAACGATACCGATACTGTGACTCAAGACCTCTCCCCAGGTGCGTTCTGACCAGAAGTTCGAAGCGAATCCAGCCGTGGCGACGAGGGCCTCCAAGGAGAACCAACACTGCGAAAACAAGGGACGGGTAGCAATATCGGCTCCTTTTCCTCGTCTGACTCGTCCCTCCTCATGCTGCTGCTGCTGCTGCTGCTTCTCCTCCTCCTCTTCCAGGGGGCATTGTTCGCCTTCTGGAGGAAGGGCTTCACCGACGTGAGCACATGCTCGGGGATGTGGTCCGCGTCGAGGTCCTTGACCTCCTGCGGGTGGGGGAGGGCTCGAGGCAAGATCGGCACGCATCGAATCAGCAAAACGGATCGCATCGGAATGGGCGTTGGATCGAAGTTCGAGGCAGGTGCGAGGTTACGGTTTCTCTCACAGCTCAATGAGCTCCCGGGGGGCTTCCGGCCTCGGCACGCTTTCCAGCAGCTGCGCCTCGCCGAGGGCGCTCCTGGGATACCCGACACGGCCCCGAACGCCCGCCAGAGACGCTGGAGGCCAGAGCTAGCCCCCGAGAGCCAGCGAGGGGGCCTTGAACTGCGTCGGAGCGTGCGTCGGATCGGGCCACATCGGCACTGAGCGGGAGTCGAATCGGAGCGGTTGCGCCAGGCTGCACGGCAACGCCGTGCAGGCATCGGGCCGCCGGAGCATAGCTGAACCGATCGGGCGGGGCCGGCCAGAATCGACAGCGATACCGGATCGAAGTGGACTCCGCGAGGATCGTGGTCCAAGGATATTAGGTCTTGCACGTGTCGGAACTGCATGCGTGCGAGATCGCGGAGTCTTCAATTGTGGCGTACCGGGGCCACCTGAACAAGATGCTTTGGCCGTCCAGGGGTGCGACGACGAGAACGACGACCTCGGCGACGACTACGACGGCGACGAAGACGAGCCGACTGCTCGACAACGAGGTGCCAGCCGACAAAGAAAAATCGGCAACGCACGACGACGACAAGATTGACGACCTGACGACGATGACTCGAAGACGACGCCTCGATGACGATGCACGCCGACCACGGCGGCGGCGACGAACTCGAAAACGACGACGACTACGACGCGGTGCAGGCCACAGCCGCGTCCTCGACCTCTCCCTCCTGCTCGCTCTCCTCCTTCCCCGACTCCACGTCCTCCTGATGCCATGTCCTCTCAATCCCCTTCCTCCCTCCCATAGAGAAACAAGAAACGGCATAAACATAAACTTTCGAAGTCTGCGCGCGTTTATTGGACTCGCGTTGGAACCCCCTTGCGCGCGGAGCGCGCTAGGTCCCCCAGCGCGGATCCAAGAAACCCGCGCGGAGCTCCGAAAGGTGATACTTGTGATTGTGTTGTTTGTTCGACTCCTCATCCTTGCCTCCAACATCCAACTACTCCTCCGCCTCCCCTCCTCCTCGTCCTCCTCCTCCTCCCTCGTCTCATCCTCCTCCTCCTCCACCTCCTCCTCCTCCTCTTCCTCCTCCTCCTCCTCCTCCTCCTCCTCCTCCTCCTCCTCCTCTCTCGCCTCTTCCCCCTCCACCTCCACCTCCACCTCCTCCTGCTCCTCCTCCTCCTCCTCCTCCTCTCCTCCTCCTCCTCCTCCATCTCTTCTTCCTCCTCCTCCTCCTCGTCCTCCTCCTCCTCCTCCTCCTCCTCCTCCCTTCTCGCCTCCTCCTCC